GTATCTCTAGCTATGTTTGAGTTAGGAATACTTTCATTTACTCTCAAGACACCCCCATTGCCTTATGAGTCAGAATCTTTATGTAAAATATTTTTGCATATTTTTAGTTAATTTTTTACCAGCAGGAACATTAAGGAGGAATTTTACACTGGGGTGAAAAAAGAAATGGTGACGCCCTAGGTCAGGCCAGAATTTGGGAGGTGTAAAGTTAGCATAAAATTATACCCGGCATGTTTCCTACATTCAGCATAGGAAAGGAGCAACTGAGAAACATAAAGTTTCATGTTTAACTTGCAGTGTCCCCTCTAGTTAGGCCTTTCTCTGTCATAGTCCCAGCTTCTTCTCCTGAAAGACGCTACAGAAAGGTAATGATTCTGTAGTCGTATTATTGTTATGGATTTCTTGGTACGCAGAGATGTATTAGGCACTGTGTCAAAGTAAGACGTGTTCCTTGCCTCAGAGAGCATAGAGTCTAAATTTGAGTGACACAAGTGAGGTAGGGGAGAATAAAGACAAGGGTGACAGTAAGATCCTATGATTATGCAGAAAGGCACAGACACACCTGCGTGGTTTTGTTTTGTTTATACTAACTTTCCATTGCTTCATGTCTCATATGTGAGAAAACAGAAGTTGTTTCTGCGGAGGGATTTGGATGAGATGAGAACAGTGGCATGTTGGGGGAAGGCTTTCCAATAGGGCTGTCGATTTAATCACAGTTAACTCACGCGATTAACTCAAAAAAGTTAATCGTGATTAAAAAAATTAATTGTGATCAATCAGGGTGGATTTGATTTAAATTGATTTAAATCACTAGTCAGGAAGGCTCGATTTAATCATGGATTAAAACCTATCCTGAAGGATGACCCATCACTCTCACAGATCTTGGGAGACAGGCCAGTCCTTGCTTACAGACAGCCCCCCAACCTGAAGCAAATAAGTGACAATTCTTCAGCAAAAAAAACTTCAAAAACAGACTCCAATGAGAGACTGCTGAATTGGAATTAATTTGCAAACTGGATACAATTAACTTAGGCTTGAATAGAGACTGGGAGTGGAGGGGTCATTACACAGAGTAAAACTATTTCCCCATATTTATTCACCCCCCCTCCCCACTGTTCCTCAGACGTTCTTGTCAACTGCTGGAAATGGCCCACCTTGATTATCACTGCAAAAAGGTCCCCCCCACCCTCCCCGGCCTTCCTGCTGGTGTGAGCTCATCTTAAGTGATCATTCTCCTAACAGTGTGTATGGTAACACCCATTGTTTCATGTTCTCTGTGTATATAAATCTCCCCACTGTATTTTCCACTGAATGCATCTGGTGAAGTGAGCTGTAGCTCATGAAAGCTTATGCTCAAATAAATTTGTTAGTCTCTAAGGTGCCACAAGTAATCCTTTTGTTTTTAAATGAAATATTAAAAAAAAAATTAAATTGACTATGTCCGCCAGGTCAACATGAGAAACTTAAACTATTGGCTTCTGCAGCTAACTCAGTCATCTTCACCTTCATTTTCCAATTTGTTAATAATCTGGAAAAGAAAAACAAGCTTTCCTGCTTTTTCATGTCCCAAATGATTTCTCAATTTGGAATGAATTAGTCCAAAGGAAGAAAATATTCTTTCTGTACTGGCAGAAGAAGCTACTGCTGTTAAAAGTGAGATTATCACTTCAACAGTCTCTGAATCCAAGTGCTTAAGTGACTTCCACCAGTTCACTGGTGTGACTTTCTTTAAAACATCATCAGCAAACATCTATTTCTTGAATGGTTCACCCTTAGCTCTGAAGTTTCTTATAGTTGGCATTATGGAGGGATGGTTGCTGGATGTCCATGTCATAGCCAACTCCTCTTCTGCAGCAGTTAAGGTTTGACCCTGGCACCGAGTATTGAGAATATTTGCAAGAAAATGAACTGGAGATAGTGCTTGTCCCATTCATTTTTCTAATGCTGGTAATTTAACTGTCATTGCATATTTATCTTTTTAAGATCTCGCTCAGTTCTTTCCAAATTTCAACAGCATCAGCAATAAAACAGCTATTTCCCTGCATTTTGTTCAAGGCTACAGAAACCAGCTTCAGGATACTCAGCATGTGTTCAACATTTCTCTTAAGCCCAATGTTGAGAACTTTGGCTGTGACAGTGCCATTCTATTTTTTTACTATTTTGTTCACAAACTGTCATCAGATTAGGCCAGTTCTTCATATTGTGCTCAAAACAGTCCACTACTGAGTTCTATCACACATCTTGTGGGAGAGTTAGCTTGGTTCATCCCACTTTTTTTTGCTGCAAAGTGGTTGATACGGAAGTATTTTGCAGTTTCAACATTAGCCTTTATTTCTGGAACACTGAAGTCTTCGGCTGAGAGGTGCATCAAATAAACACTGCAACCGTATGTTGTTAGCTTGGGACTCTCTTCACTCTCTTCTAAATAATTTCTTCTCATCTTGGATACATTTGCAGAATTGTCTGTGACCAAGCTGCGTACTAGACATTCAAATTTTTTTTCACAGTTTGTTATAGCTTTTACTGCTGCTTCTTGTAAGTATTCTGCTGTGTGTGCATTTCCTGATCTATAAATTGTTTCTGTAAGGAAGACATTCCCTTCTTCTATTGTCACAGAAGCACATGCAGCAGGATCATTGTGGACATTGCTCCACCCATCAAGACTCAGGTTAACAGTTTTGCCCTCTAGACTTTTTTGCATACGGCTCAATTTCTCTTTCATACACTTTATCCAGCAATTTGCCTGCAACATCTGCTCTGTTGGGTTGACTGTATCCTGGTCTTAATGACTGAACCATGTTAATGAAGTGTGGGTTCTCAGTCATACGGAAAGGAGAGTTTGTTGCATAAACAAATGGGGCAATTTTTTCATCAGTTACCTCTTTTTGTAATCTTCTGGTTCTTATCACAAACTTATCTATGGTTGTTTCTGGATGGTGGAGTTTTTTTTTCTTTCTGCTACAGGTGATATGCTGTGGCTCTGTAAATACATGATGTGACTAAAACACTATCATTGACAGATAACTCTGAAACTATAGAAAATGATGATGCTCTTGAAGGTATATAGTCTTCAGAATCCTGTATGTTGAGGATGAATTCTCCTAAACAAAATAAGTCAATGCAGTTATTTAATTATTATTACCGTACTGTTCATTTAGTATTACTCATTCTATTCACTGACAGTCAGTACTACTTTAAAGGTGAATTTGAAAAAGGAAGATCTGCCTATTTCAGCTGTGTTTTTTTTTTTTATCACAACTGCATCTAAAATGATAGCACCATAGACTAACAACTATATTTTTTGCTCAAACATGAGAATTCAAGAATAGTCAGGAAGGAAGACAAGTAGTTCTTAAGAAAGAAGTATGCATTCCATTGACACATCCGATGAAGTGATCTGTAGCTCATGAAAGCTTATGCTCAAATAAATTGGTTAGTCTCTAAGGTGCCACAAGTACTCCTTTTCTTTTTGCGAATACAGACTAACACGGCTGCTACTCTGAAACTTCTCTAAGAGTTTCTGTGATTCAAGAGGACTTAGGTCATATGTGCTGTTAATTCAGTGATTTCATCAGCATTATAATGAACACAGGTTTTTGTTTTTTAATTAACAGATTTGCACCACAGTTTAAGGAATTTAAAACTGAGAAAAAAGAAAAACTGCTTTGATAATAGAAAGGCAGTGCTGCAGTTGGGCAGTGTCATCATTAAATGGCTTAAAATTATTTAGGCAAATACATCTATTAAGGAATGAGGCATGGAGAGTAAATTACATTATAAAATAATGTAAAGTTTTTAGTTAAGGTTTTTAAATAGAATGTTCTGAAATTTCTAGTGTAAAAAACCTACAATTGTCAAAACTGTACTACTCCAAGTTACTGTTACTTTTGGAATAAGTACCATTGGGCAGATTCTCTGCTAGTGTAACTTTATATCAGCAGAGGATCTGCCCCTATATGCCTATGACAGTTTTAGGCCATTTTGCTCTGAACACTTTATAAGGACAGCAACTTATACCAGTTGCATGCTACTTACTTTTTTGTCATCTGTCTCATTTTGGAGCATTTGTCAGCAGCACCTCGTTATTCTAAGTTTTCTCAGAAATTTATAGAGAATGCTATTAAAATCAGCACATGGACCAGAGGATTCAAACAATGCAGAGCTTTTTAATTGATAAGCACTATTCATCATGATTAAGGCTACAGTTTTGTTACGGAGATTGTGAAAGTCACAGAATCCGTGACTTCCAAAGACCTCTGTGACTTCAGCTCCCCGGCTGCAACGGCTGGGTAGGGAGACCTCCGCAGCTCCCCAGCCGCGGCAGTGGCAGGGAGATCCCTGCAGCTCCCCAGCTGTGGCAGGGGGATCCCCACAGCTTTCTGCCCGCTGAGGTGAGGCAGAGGGATCCCCACAGCCCCAGCCGCCACGGGGAGTGTGGGGGGGAGGGCAGGGGGACCCCCGCAGTTCTCCACTGCAGCGGTGGCAGAGGGGATCCCTGGAGCTCCCTGCCGTGGGGAGGGAGCTGGGGGACTCTGCAGCTTCCCACCACCATGGGGGGTAGAGAGACCCTGGAGCTCTGAGCCCCCACAGGTGGTGGGGGCCCTGGAGCTCCCAACCACCCCTCAGCTGCCCAGCCCCTTCGCATTTTATCATGGATATTTTTAGTAAAAATCATGGACAGGTCATGGGCAATAAAGAAAAATTCACTGAAACCTATGAGCTATCTCTGACTTTTACTAAAAATATCCATGACACAATCTTATCCCTAATCATGATCTCCTCTGCTGAGGTTTTTAAAGAAAACGAATGTAGTGTTGTGTGCACCATATAAATAAATTGGTAGACATTTCATCTCAACAGAAGAGAAATCTGTCTGTTTGAAGTACCTTATCTCAACAGTAATCACCAGTTCATCTGACGGTGTGTTTTGGTGCCTTTAATTTACTTCTCTCTGAATAAATTATTTGGTTTATTAACATTTTTTCTCTGTTCTCTGCCAGGCCCCTTACCCCTCAGGGCAGAATGCAGCTCCAGCCACATTGGTGTACCCCCAAACTCCTCAAACAATGAACACACAGCCTCAGACCCGCTCTCCGGTAAGGGAGCACTTGTTTGCTCTAGTTTCTGTTCTTTCTCTCTCATTTGTGTGTCTTTCTATGTGTACGGTAGCATTTCTCTGGAAAGTGCTTTATTGACTTCTGAAAGCAATTTCCAAATAGCAAATCTTTATTGCATTTTTAAACGCTTTCATGTTAGGAGAAGCTTTTTTCAAGGTAGCTTATGTGATGGAGGGATTCTCATCTACTTCCCAATGGCATGATTTATTTTTAGTGTATTATCACTCAGGTTCACCTCATTTTAGAACTTTAGATTCATTATCAGTGTCTTTCTCTTTGCTTCATTTTTTTTCTTTGTAGAAACATTTGATTAAGTGTTAGAACAAAGATCAGTAAATTAAATTAAATCTCCAAAGTAGCACTCTGTCTGCAGTGGCTCAGGGAACATGACTTCAGAATCATTGCCACTGGATCAGTTTAAACTCTTCAATATATCACTGTGTACATGCAACTTTATATAGTTTCTGAATCTCAGAATCTTTTTGTGGTAAGGCCTTTTCATCAAACTTTGGACTCTAACATCCTCCTTTTATGCATATTTTAATACTGTTCTCCTATTTTAGGCCTCTGACTCCCTGAAACCAGCCTCATGTTGGAAATCTGTGCTTGTAGTGCAATTCCATCTGATGCTAGGAGGTCCTCCTGCAGCATCAATGCTTATCCCTACTTTTGGAGGCAGAGTAGATCACCTCCGCTGTACCTGAAGCCTCAGCTAGCCCAGGGAGCAGCAGTACCTCTGTCCCTTCAAGCACCACATCTCCTGTGTCATAACATTTTCGGTTACCACTAAAGTTGCTGCACCATCTCCAGCACTCTTCTTTTTTTTAGAGTGGAATGCTGCTGAAGGGTGGCAACTGAAAGTCTTCAAGACAGCAGTCTTCTGTTTATCAGGTATAATACAGGGCAAGCTCCCCCACTTACCACCCCCAGCCCCACCAATGTGCCTTAACCCACTTTGGAACTTTCACCTCTAGGGAATTCAGAGAAGGGTTAGTCTCTGTGGCCTATTGAGTCCTTGATCTCTGTGCTGAGAGAGCCTATTAATTCCAGGTTTGATGGTGTTTTTATGACATGGACAGCTGCACATTTGTAACTGGGAAGAGATCCCCAACTCATTTCATTTAGTACCCAGTTCTAATCAGTAATCTGGGATACCTATGATGGTAAATCTTTTCTCTGTAAGTATGATCATCATCTTTATCTCTAATTGTTGAAAAGCAAGAGTAAATTTACATGGTTAGAACTGGAGCAAAACCTGACTGAAGAGCTGCATCTCTAAACCAGTTTTTTTGACAGCCCAGCAGAACAGTGCCAATACATTGCACAGACAACTGGAAGAGGAGGAAGGTTTTGGAACAGAATCCGGTTTACAGGTCCCTGGCTGGAGGAGGCTGGATAAAATACTGCATTGTAAGCAATATAACAAACTGTACTCCTTCTTGCAGGCAATTGTGCCAATGGCACTGTTTAATTTTTTGTTGTTGTTTTTTTTACCACATGATTTTGTTGACTGATCTACAGAAATGCACTGATTGCTTCTTTACGAAAAACATGAGATACCATGGCAGTTTCTGCCAGGTTAAATGGTGAAAGAATGGTTTGGGAGGGTCTGATCTTTCAGGATTTAGACAGGAAGAATTTGGGCTTACACTTAACGGGGTGACACTTTCAGAAAATTGGGCTGAAAATTCACAAAATTGTAGGGATTTTGCCACATAATTAGAGAAAATAATGAAGAAGAGTTTGTCTGCAGTTGTCAGCTATTTTTCTGTGGTCATGAACTATTTTATTTTAAACTATCCTGTATGCAGTTTTTGCCATCTGCTCTGCTAGTGATCATTACCACTCCATTACTAAAAAAACGCACATATAACATTCCATTACAACCCCTATCCCCAAAACAAATGCATGACTAGCTGGTCCTGAACTACTCTTGCGTTTTGTTCTGGGTTTGATTTATTTTAGTTTTATCTTCTTTTCTGGTGGTGATGGGAGGGCGAAGAGGGGATGAGAAAGATGGCGTGATAATTCCTTTGCCATCCTGGGATTCTCTAGTGTAGTCCAATCGATCACACAGCTGACCAGCTGGTGAGGATAGGTAAGCTGTTGCACTGATGAAGTGACCCTAATACTGCATTCTAGAGCAGCCAAAGCTTACTCCATTCTATTTCTGCATTAAAGGGCCATTGGCAATTGCACAGTCTAGGCTTTTTTATTCTTCCCTGGACAGCTGCCTTTGCAATTCAAGTGGCTTCAAATATTTTCCCATTTAGTTTTTCTAGTGTCATTTGTATTTGATACCAAAAATTTCAAAGTTCAGTTCCAGTTGGGGAAAAAGTTTTAAATACTGGTCAGCCCAAGTATAATTACTGCTTTACTTCCATTTCCTGTTGTCAATCCCAACCCTAAACACTAGTTTATTTTAAAGCAATCTGTCTAATGTAGAGAAACTGCTGAAAAACATAATCTGGGAGAAGGGAATGTAGTGGCTATTGTAATAACCTATAAAAAGTGGTTATATTTATGCAGTGTGCAAAATCTACATCAGCATATGTAGAAGTTGCCAGCAGTGCGCAAAAGGGTTTGTGAGTGAGACCAATAAGGACGTGAGTGGCAGAAATGTTGGATCTGGGTTTCACAGAAGGCTGTTTTCCTCTGTATCTACTACCTTCACCATCTAAATAAAAAACAAAGTATTTTTACTCTGAGCCAGTAGTGACTACAGTTTGTTCTGTTGCTTACAGCTACCAATAGGAGTAAAGAATATTGTCAAGAAGAATTATGAAAATCAATAGCCAATGGTGACCAGTGCAAAATAGACTAGGGTACTTTTCCACTAACTTTGAGGTTTTATTTTATTTTTTTCTTATAACATGTATTACTTTTTATTAATGGAATATATTTTGGCTTAAGTATTCTTAAGATGTAACTTTCCAACTCTTATTTCAGAGCCAATTAAAAGTTAGAATTTTCCATGGAACAGTGATAAAACAGGTACTTCTGCTCTCAGATTAATCAACACTGGTTTTTGCACCCCACAACTCTCTTTGTAGGGTTTTTGAAGCAAATTGCTTTTTCTGCTTTCATTGGCGGATAAAATAGAGCCTGTAGTCCATCAGGAAATATTTATGTTGGTGCCTTGTCCTTGTCAGGGGAAGTGCTATCCTGTTTCCTCAGCTGTGAGACAGAAGAAACGAAACCCATACTCTGCTTTTGGGATTCCTCCTGTGAAAAACCTGATTTGAATTGTAATCTGTGCATCATCTCCTTAGAATCATCGTAGTCTCCGCTTACTACTGCAAGTGAAGGGTCAATAAAGCCACCACCCTCCAATATACCTAAAGGTTTCGGAGAGGGGTTAGAAGCTGTGTGTACCAAGTGTCTCTTTAGTATATCACATGACAAATTGCCAAAACTATTAAAGCTGAAATTTTAATTTTTTAGTGTAATAAATTGACATTTTCTTGTGTTTTAAAATCTGAGGTTTAGTGGAAATGTCACACGGGACCGTTTAGGGTGGAAAAGAAATAAAGTTGTATATGATTTGTGAATTGGTACTGTAGATTATACTTTATATACTCTTATGGTAGAAATAGACTGTGTGCATTTCTTCTTCCTGAAGATTTTTATTATTCTGCATCCAACTGTAATGAATAGATGAAGGTAGGAGGAATATATAAACACTGTAGAATAAACTATAGTATTTATAGACTGCTGCTTGGAAGTATTAAATATAGGCAATTTTTAAAAATGTTTCTAAAGGGGAAAGGAAAATCAATTCTATCAGTGGTGAATGCTTGTTTTGCTTCTGTCATGTTTGGTGGTGTTAGGAACATTAAGAAGCAGTGAAATGGGGCTGTAATCCAGCCTTACCCCATTTACTTATTTTTATTTATTTGTTTATTTGTTTGTTACTTTCTATTTGGGTGAAATAAAAACTCAGTAACTTGAAACCAGCCTTTGTCACCTACTTAGAATAGTTTAACTATCCCAGTAGTTTGTATATGAAATGTACAAACTTCACTGATAGGTGTACTTTTCTGCCCTTATTGTTCTTTGTTAAACTCCCATTTTAGAACATATGGTAGCACACGAGAAGAAAGTAATATGTATTAAATCAGTCTCTGCACAAGTACCATGAATTAGCAGAGCTGTACTGCTTTGCTTGCCTCCCTGTGTGTCTTACATTACTCGCAGGCACAGCTAGCAAGAGGGAGGAGTGCGCACACAGTGTTTTGCTGCTGTGCATAAAAACTCAATGTGGGATCTAATTTAATGTACTCTGTTTAATTATTTGAGCTGTTATTAATAGATTACCAGATATCATTCCAGGAAAGACTGGAGTTCAGTTAACAAACTGAGAATTAAGGGCTTAAATGCTTAACTTGATTTCTTCTAAGAGATATCCTTTCATTTTTATTTATATTTTCCATGCCTTGCATTCATTTTTATTTCCATTTTAACACTTAGCGAATTACCAGAGAATGTTCTAAATGTTCATTGCGTGTGTTAAATGCTGAATCCTTTCCCCCATTATAATGTGAGGGGGTAGGAAGTGATTTAATGATATGAGCCCAGAACTGGGAAACAAGAACTCCTAAGTTCTGTCCAGGCTCTGCCATTTGCAAACTCTGTTTTCCTGGACAAACCATGGGTTAACCTATTTGCTTCAGTTCCCTCATTTGTAAAATTGGGATAACAATACTTACCATCACATGTCTGTAAATACTTTGTAGATGAAATGCACTATCTATGTGCAAATTATTGTTTTAGTCTTGTTTGCCTTGCAGAGATTTTCATGCATTCCCTGTAGTGTGCAGGACACTAGAAGTGCTTACCTGGCTGTTAATTGCAGTGTTGTAAGCAGAGATATACCCTCCACTCTCCAAAAACTTGAGTCAGTCAAACCACTTTAAGGATATCCACTTGTCTTAAACACTTAATATTTAACCTTTTTCTCTGGACTGTATTAAGAATTTCTTTATTCTTATAGTAGAATGCCTTTAAGATGACTAGCAGCTTTGGTTGTGGCTCTTCCAGCTCTTGGGCAGCCCACTATCACTGGAGTGGTGTTAACCTGTTATATTGTAGTACCTGTCTGTCACTGTCCTTCAGCAAAGCTTTGACTTTTTGTGGTTTTTCTTGTGGGTTTATTTTGCATGTAGTATGACATTTTGTTTTTTGTTGTGGTCTTTCTGACTCTTTGTGCCTTTCCTTTTGTGTTTGTTTCTCCCACCTTTCCTCAGTTTGCAGCGGGGCCTCGACCTGCCCATCACCAGGTACAGTACCCTTGCCCCTTCGTTATCATCCTAAACTAATCTGTTGGGAGAAGGGGGAGGTTGGAGTTTATCCACCTACTAACTTTAAAAATGCAAGCTTGCTTTGTGAGCCAGATCGTTTCCAAACATTAGCACGTGCTATAACCTCAGCTAACAAGCAAACATAATATCCCATGATGCTTTGCCTCCTAATTAATTTCACTGTACTTACTATTAACAATCCCATTAAAAACATTTGCTTAGCTTAAAAAAAATGTAGCAAGACTATTGCCAGGTATCTTTCAGATTTTCTTGCTTTTGGGGGAATTTCTGAAACTTACTCGAAACTTCAAATGGCTTCAAAGGGGAGTAGGATATCCAATACACACAGATTCCTTTGAAAATATCGGCCTTTAAATTCTAATGGCTTTTAACAAGTCATATTAGTTGCCAATTTGTTTGTGGGTACAGTGAAAAAACAATTATACATACCTTTGTTGTTCCCAGTATATACAGTCACATGAGGAACACATGCTTTCTAGAACAGGGCAGAAAACAAGAGTTTAAAGAATAATAACACTTAATGCATCTGCTCATTCACTCACACACAGAAACCACATGTGAGGAAGAAATTATCATTTGTTACTATTTATGCATAGTTTTAAGCTCACTTGTTGCTATGGATTGTATGGATAGGCTTATGGTGAGGGAAGAACCATTAAAGGTGAGTGTATTTGCACCTGCCCTTTACTGTGTACTAATAAGCACCATGACAGAATTTGTAACTTGCTGGGAGACCTACCATTTCCTTTTCTTGACCTTCTCTGAAGTTCTGTGGTTATAAAAGAAGTTATGGGAAAATTAGTAACAGTTCAAAGATGAGAAATATTCATGAGTTCTTTTCTAGATCATTTACCAAAAGACAAAATTTGTGTTTAGTGTGTCTTGCTAAAATTCTCTCCTAAACTCAATGAGAACCAGGTGTACCCGCTATATGAAGAATTTGGATCTAGAGATTTGCAGATCTTTAACAGTTAGCGGTGTATAATACCAGTACAGTGTAAAAAGTGTTTGGTTGCTTTACAATTATAATCGAGTTAGGAATCCTATTACAATATGATTAAAACGGTTTTATCCATTGGACCCAGCTGTGACCCTATAACTGGGTTTCAACCTGGGAATGTCCAAGGCTTTAGTATGCTTACAAAACCAATATATATCTTAACTGTGTTGTTAAGGTTCTTGACTTAGTTGTTGTATAAACACAATTCTCTCTCAGAAACAAGAATTTATTAGAACCACACTAAGACCTAGATTCTTACCTGTTCCCAGTATCCTCTGGACACAGTTCTGTATGTGTGTGAGGGGGAAGAATGGGATTGGTGTATCGACAGGCTAATCCTGAGACTGATTCTATGCCTAGGTAGTCCCCGGTGTAGTTTATATAAGGGGTTCTCAACCTTTTTCTTTCTGAGGCCTCCCCCCCTCACCTCCCCACATGCTATAAAAATTCCATGGCCCACATGTGCCGCAACAGCTGGTTTTCTGCGCATCCAGTAGATTAAAAGCCAGGGCTGGCATTAGGGGTTAGCCAGCAGGGCAGTTGCCTAGTGCCCCATGCCACAGGGGGCCCCGTGAAGCTAAGCTGCTTGGGCTTTGGCTTCAGCCCTGGGTGGTGGGGCCTGGGCTTCAGCTTCCTGCCTTGGGCCCCATCCAGTCGAACACTGGCCCCTCTCTGTTCTATTTTGGTGGCCTCCTGAAAGGCCCCCCAGAGGGCCCCGGACTCCTGTTGGAGAACCTCTGGTTTATATATGCCAGTGCCAAAGGGTGATGATGGAGGTAATCTGACACTAAACCTGAAAACTGACACTGAGAATGTTGTGCCATCATGTTAGGAATCTTGGGGCTAACTTAAATTATTATTCCCATGTGAACTGAAAAATGTTACAAATCACTACGTTGCACAGTCTTTACTCTCATGGGTTAATTAAAATGTTACACAGTCGTTACTTTGAGAACCCAGAATGAGAATTTTTTTATGCAAAACATTTACCAAATACTGAAATTTACTATATTGGGTACCAACTTTTGCTATAATTGATATTTGGAAAAAAGAATTTTTGTCTTCTAACACAGTATCAGGAAGAGCAGGTTTTTATCCTAAATTTAAATTTTCTGTGTAATATGCACATTATATCATGGTTAAGTCACATCTCTTGTGCATTGATTCCATATCACTGTGAATGAACATATATAATACAGAGTATTCTTTAGTGCTATTTCCTGTAATTATTGTATCATTAATATGCTCTGATGAGCATGACTTACGTTCTCGAAGTGACTGGCAACTTTATAAAGAATTTATTTAAAATATATTATGAATATGTCAGTTATAATTATTTGAAGCCTGTTGATGCTATAAAAAACAAAATTGAAGCTCTTGTGATTTCATAACCTCTGAAAGCCCAGTTTTAATGTTTTACAAGTAAACAACAACTAAAGTCAAATGAAAATAGCTGCCGTGGTTTTGTTGAAAAGCTAAGCAATTGCTCCTCTCTCTCTTGTCAGCAAATGTATTTCCTGGGGCGGAGGATGTGTATGAATGTGGGGAACGTCCTTTCCTAGCTCCATACATAGAGCTAGGAAGGGAAGCAGGAGGTGGAGGGAGGTGTTCTTCACTCCCCACCTCTCTGTATGGAGCCATGGGGGAGTGTTCTCTTTTCCCACCCCATCCTTGAAGACAGAGATAGTATGGGAGTGTGATCTCCCCACACATGGAGCAAGGTTCTATGGAGATGGAACCAAAGCGCATGCTGATGGTTCCACTGTGGGAGCAGTTGTTAGCTCTTTTCCCATTCGTGGATATTTGAAAGGACAGAGAGGCTGTGAAGGAACGTGGCTGGTACAACCATGGTGCTAGTGCTTAAACTAGTGCCATGGTGTAGTAGAATCTGTTTATAGGTTTTTATTATTTCTTTTAATTTATAAAAGCATCCATCATACGGGCTCTGGCTAATGAAAGATAAAAAATAAAGTACAGAATTTGATGAGCACTGCTAATACTGGAAGACTTTTGTCCACTAATAAACTACATACCATCACCTTCAGGCAAAAGCTTGGAAAAAGAAATGAGCCTTACATCAATTCCGTTAGGTCAGCACTCAGGCTTTTGCAGGCCAGTTGGGGAAGTAAATTCCAGAGCCAAGGGCCCTCCACTGCAAAATCACTGTCTCTGGTACCCAGATCTTTAAATTCAGAGAGAGTTTTAACTCAAGCTCCCCAACTCATCTCGGTGAGATGGTGAAGGTGCAATTATCTCAGCCAAGACCCAAGCCAGATTAAAGATCAGAGACAACACTCTGACTTGTACCTGGTGGTAAGTGCACGTCTCACATCCACTAAGAAAACAGCATTCTTCGAAAGTGTTTCCATCTTTCCTGTGCAGATACTCCCTCTCCCTCTCTTAGGGTCAGGGAAAAGTTATCCTGCCAGTCAATTCTTCTCTTTCTCTTCTACCTCAAAATTAATAACAAAGGAGTTGTCTAAGGCTGTGGAGAGGCATAATTAACAGAAGAAAACAGCCTTAATGTACCAGTCTGATTTGGTTGTAATCTTGACAATTTGTTGCTTTGTCCTTGTGTTTCCATTGTTACTTTTTTCAGCCTTTTGCAAAGCCATGTCTGCTTATGGATCTGTAACAATTACTAGTCGTTAATTGACCTGGACATATGTAAACAAATGGCTAATGTTTATTATGTTTAAAATAAATATAGCTTGTTTGCAGAACTCCTGCTAGAGAGACTGCCTTTATTTTTCAGTCATATGGGGTGCGCTTCACAGGCTTTTCAGCGAAAATGATGGTTTCGTTTAGAAGCATGTCTTTTGCATATGGCAAAGCAAGCTCTTTCCCTCTCCTTTCAGAGTTCTTGATGATTTAGATCGCATGGAGTTTATCTCATGCATTGCAATACGCCAACACATAGACAAGGGAGTGTTCAGCTAGACCAGTGTGCTAGAGAGCATAATGTAGAAAATCCACTGAAAACCATGTGGGACTAGAAATAGTCTGTAGAGAACAATCCTACATCACTTGGGGATGGACTAGATGAGACCTTGTAACGGGGTCAGCACCCATCTCTCATGAGTGCCCCCTTTTCTCTGGCCAATATACCTGCAGTTAGTCTTTTCAGCGAGGCAGCACCCGCTTCACATGGGTAGCCCCCTTTGGTTGGTTGAGTGTGAGCCTGCTTTTAGTTTTAGTTCTTATGTCGGGGTGGCACCTGCCTCTCGTGAGCATCCTCCGGCTGATGGTTCTCTTGGTGGGTCTTCAGCGACTCAGCCCGAGATGCAGACACTGTCCCCCTTTCCGGGGTATACAGTCCTGAGTTCTTATCACTGCCTTGGTATGGAGCTATAGCTCTTAGGCTTTTTCCCAAAGGCTCTGTCGTCTTCAACCACCAAGCCATGGCCCACCTCAGTACCCGCAGCTGGTGGAGTTTTAGCAGGCCTCCCTAGGCTCAGTCTTCAATCAGGCCAGTGGGACTCATCTCATTACCCTTGCTAGCCAGGCCAGGTTCTGTGCTCAGTCCCCCTGGGCTTCAGCCTGCCCGCACTGACCTTCCGCTGGTCCTCCTGCTCTTCCTGCCAGCCAGGCACCTGGTCTTCAGCAACCTGGGCTTCATGTCCTGTTAAGCAGCAATTTTCTAGTTTTGTTTAAGATACATTGTGGCATTCATTTCACAGTGATGAGAACTTTGTTAGGTCTTGCAGTACTTAGGCCAGGTTTACACTACAAACTTGTATCAGTATAACTGCGTTGCTCAGGGGTCTGAAAAATCCACATCCCTGAGTGATGTAGTTATACCGACCTAACCCCAGTGTAGATAGTGCTATGCCAATGGGAGAGTTTCTCTTGTCCATGTAGCTACCACCTCTTGGAGAGGTGGGTTAACTACACTGACAGGAGAAGCTCTTCTCTGGGTGCAGCAGCATCTTCATTAGAGCACTCAAGTGGTGGAGCTCTGCTGCTGCAGTGCTGTACGTGAAGACAAACCCCTAGCCTTAAAGAGAGGGCGGGATTTGTGGGAGAGGTTGTCAGGAATAGGTTGCTGGTGTTGAGGATTTCTAACAATAACCACATCATGGACCTCCTTACCCTAAATGCTGGTCCTGACTCTGTAATGCATGTGCTCCAAGGTAACACTTGCATACAGGGGAACGAACTGTGGACAGTTTCAACCTCAATTCTGAATTTCCTTGCTCTTGTCAAGGAAGGCATTGTTAGTATTACGTCAGCCTTTGTATTTGCATATAAACTTGTGACATTAAATTGTTAGCAAAACAGAGTTGCAAAATGCCACCCTCCAGGAGTAGGTTTAGATATTGGCAGCTTCACTTTGGAGGGGAAAGAGAGAGGATAGGGCATAAAGCGTTTTGTCAGCTAGGGCTTGTTTTGAATGGCTGAACCTATATACAGCTTAGGTGTTCTCTCATGCTTCGCTGGGTTTCTGCTTTTTTCCAGAATTAAGGCCTTAGTTTTTTTCATTTGGAAGGGTTTGCTGTATCTAAACATAATGAAGTAAATTCTGCTAGAGACTTCTCACGTTGGATTGACTTTTTTTTTTAACGTAGTTCTCCCCTACCCCCTTGTACAATAACAAGAAGGATATTCTCCCTGCTCCCTCTTAAAGACTCACTTTCTTTGGGAGCTCCACTTACACTGACCCACATGTTAGTATGGCATTGCAACCCAAGACTCAGGTTTGTAAATCCTCTCACTCAAATTTGACCCTTCCCCGCCACCCCCCCAAAAAGAAAAAGTTTTGGTTCTCCTGTACCACCTGGTTGACAACCTATTCTCTAAACAATGGGTGGTATTCTCCTCTCACATTAGTTGACAGAATTGTAACTCATTGATTTCCCAGTGTCTGTCTTTTTAGAAGTAATGAAATCATTGTGTCTTTGCTCCCCTTCTCCCAAGAATCATAACTGGCTGTCAGCAACTTTTGCTATGACATAAGCAGTATTATTTTTAAAACCCAGCAATCTCCTCACTATGGGTTCACTTTGAACCCAGAACTGCAAGGATGGATAGTTATGTAACAGTTTAATATAAGGCCTCAAGCTTGCTAAGCATGCCATGTGTTTTGGAAGGCACTATGTTTTGGTTCTAAGTGCACTTTCATTCTACTTATGACAGCAGAAAGAGGAGCCAGTTTGTTTCTCAGGAAGCAGCATTGTTTTAGAATTGAATTCCTGTGACTTTACAGACCGCTTCAGATGTTCTTTTAGACACACTGATTGATGGTAAAAAGCCATACACAAATCAGTAATTTCCATTTCCATACATTTCTTCACTATTTTGGTGGCCTATATTGCATATTTCCTAGCAGGTTTGTTTGTTTGCTCCTAAGAATGGAGAGACCTTGTTGGAGGAGAAAGGCAGGTTTCACATACTTCAATTCCAATGTTGAAGGACCACACTCTTTATTTTCTGAATTTGAAAATAATATTGATTTTTTTTTCTATGGTAGCTGTGAACACGTGATATTGACTGTAGATACTGGCCTGGCAAGCTGTCACACTAATTTGGATAGTGGAGAAATTCTTGACTAGTTGACATAATGAGAGACCAGATCAAAGTTGAGTCTCCATCCAATCTGTTTCCACCTTGAATACATATAGAAACAGAGGGACACTGATTCTGTATGAGGCGTTCCATTGTGGTTCACTGGTGGGCTAGAAGTAACTACATCTCAGCAAGCCAGCCAAGAGGTAGTCAAAACTAACACCAGAGGAAGAACTACAGAGAAACAACCTTCATCCTTGAATCCTACATACAAGCCTATTCTTGCTCATCTTTGCCAGCTCAAGAGAATGCATAGGTTAAAAGGCAAAAACACAAAGATGGAAGAAAAATGAGATTTAGAATTGCAGTCCTGGCAAGATCCTTTTCAAGCCTATATCTGTGATGCTGTGTCAGTAAGAATATCAAATTTCTGAATTGTTTCCACGCTCTTTCTGGTGTCTCTGGATACTGGAAATCATAGAAATCATAGCCACTATCAGCATGAACTTCTCCTATATCAGATAGTGATCACTTGGTACTCCAGGGCTAGACAACCATCTAGTTTCCACTAACCCAGAAGTTTGGGAGTTTGTGTTTTTTGCCCCAACAATTGAGCTTTCTTCTGATTCAAAACACGTTGTAGAATGTGACTGATGATACAATTCTTCATCCAGGTGAACTGGCTTAGTAATAAATTTTTTGCTTTCATCTTCATATTCATTTTATCTGGTCCTCAGAGAAAGGGAGTAAGTGCTGACATTTGTGGAGAGAAATCATTCAATACAGGGACTATCATGGTGTCTCTCAATCTTCAAGAATGACCAAAGTACCTGTTTTGTTCTCACTGTCACTGTTTCTAAGTACAGGTGCATCATAGGATCCTTCTGCCTTGCTCTCTTCTCCAGTGAACTTAAGAGTGAAACATATATGTTGGCCCATCCTTTCCCAGTGCCAGGCTAGTCTCCCTTAGCCCAGACTTCTATTCCCTAATAATTATCTGCCTCTCTTCTTCCCTGTACTCATGGTATAGTTTGCCATGGGCTGACTGCTTGCTTTAATGCACCTGATCAATCAGCAGTGGTCGCTGTAGAGTGATGTATGACTACCTTACTTTCTGCTTAGCAGTTTGAAGCACATCTCTCTTATTCTTCTAGTCTTGGTATAGAGTTGGAGACCAAATCTAGGATTTCAGCATAGGTTTATTTCTATTTTGTGCATAGTGCTATTTCTGGACTACCAATATAACTAAGAGAGGAAGAGAAAAATGTTTGAAGTTAAGAACAAGCTGCACATAAAGTCTTTCTCCAGTATTCTATTTGCTGCAAATTTTATTTTTTTTAACTTATATTTTATTCTTCAGTGTAAAACTTTCTAGAAAACTTCTGCTTGAAACATGCTTGGGATTCTGACAGGAAAAGATTTCTTCATACTAGCTCAGTATCTTTCCTGCCCTGTTATATAGAAAACAGGATAGAAAGATTATTGAAACTATAATATTAGGGTTAATGTTATATCCTCTCCCTTCATATTGATCTGTAAGTTGTTCCATTGGCTTTCTTTCTGTTTCCTGTTGCTTTCTTGCTTCATTATTGAAGGGAGGATTCAGACCCATCCAGGTAATTTTAACTACTGGTTCTGCATGGCATAAGTGTTCCTTTATCACATATTTCATTATTAAATTAATGAATGTATTAATGTATAATGCATATCTTACCTGTTCAGTTTCAAGATTATTAAGACTGTAGTGCCCTGAATGCTTCCACATCCTGGATGCTGATGCTTGTCTTAAAGAGAGTTGAGACCTGAGCCACATATCACCAGGTTGCTGGGGCTGTCTGTGTGAGCTACACTTGTGTGGTGGGTTACTTTATGCAAGTGTGCTGGAAAAGCTTGGTGCAACTTAGAAAGGGGTTGCCACCTTTTTGAAAAAGGAATGCAGGACATATAGGCCCTTCAAACTTTCAGTAGGGTAAAGAGGATAAGTATGAGGGGACCTACAACCCCCATAAAAGTCTGAATTTGAGCTTTTCTGGAATATTTTCAATGCAGTTTCCTTGATCTTTTACTGCCTTATCAAATCACATATAAAGTTGGTATTTTTTTCAGTGTACCCCACCCTATAAAGTACATTTTGCATAGAATCCTTTCCTCTGACCTTTAGTTTGAAAGCTGGTGCATATAGTTCACTAGACACACATTAACAGTTATACCATTACAGTTTAAAACTTAACTGTTTGCTCCTAGTCTGTCTGTTCTACTTTGTGCGTTGTAAAACTGAGGATTGTGTGTAAAGGGCCATTGTTAAAAAATGTATGGAAACGGTCCTGCAGTTTTCTGAATGGGTGGCAATCCTCTGAAGTGAGTTTGGTGGGTTTTTTTTAAAGTATAGTATGGTTTTCTCTACTATTATTTGATATTGCAAATTCGTTTTCTTTTCAGGCAAAAATACCTTTTGACTTCTTTTTGTTTTTGCTTCCCTCCTCTAGTTTTTTCAGAGGCCTCAAATACAGCCTTCTAGAGCTGCCATCCAGAACAGCAGCCCTTCTATCCGTCCTGGTGCGCAAACACCAACTGCAGTGTATCAAACCAACCAACACATCATGATGGTTAACCATCTGCCAATGCCGTACCCAATGCCCCAGGGCCCCCAGTACTGTATACCACAGGTAATATATTGCCTAAGCACATGTGACCTTGGAAGAGCTACAGTTATTTTTCCTGGATTAAAAGAAGGTGATCTTTTGGGACTGCAGGAAAGGTGGAGGAAAAGGCTGATATAATTAGCTGCATAACCCCTGTCCTTTTTGTTCTTTAAATGTATACATTTACCTATTGAGGCAGAGATGGAGAGTGGATAATCATAAACTGTATCCTTTTCATTTTTAAGATGAAAAAATTCTACAATAATTTTCTTCCTCTGAAAGAGATGATGGAAAACTAAATTCTTCAAAAACATCTAGTACTGTAACAGCTCTTAAATTGATTTAAGAGCTATGCTTTTACTGTTAAACATTGGCCTTTGTTTGAGTCCTGCATTACAGAAATGAGGGGAATGAAATCAAGTTGACTGTGGTCTGCCTCAGCACTGATTTTGTGCATATCTTTACCTCAGATGACACAGCATGCATTTCATTATGTCTTTTTTTTTGGCAGGCAACATTCTGAATCTGTGTTTAAAAGGGTTTCATAATCTTATTTTTAGGATATTTTTTAAACCAGGTTAATTACAGCTTCTGTATGTAATGCCATATCAAATGACAATTATTTGTAAATTCCTTGTAATTTTTCTCTTCCAGTATCGTCATAGTGGCCCTCCTTATGTTGGGCCTCCACAGCAGTATCCTGTTCAGCCACCAGGGCCAGGCCCATTTTACCCAGGCCCGGGTCCTGGAGAATTCCCCAATGCCTACGGTAAACAGGGAGGAGGATTGTGCATGGTTTGGGGAAGGAGGGTGTTGCTGGATATTTGGGGTGGGGGAATGTTTCTTGATTTGTTATTTTTTTACAGCTGGTTTAATATTGTAAAGCCAAAATAATTCTTTTGAATTCAAAACCATTGCTAAATTTTAAAAAGATGCATCCGATGAAGTGAGCTGTAGCTCACGAAAGCTTATACTCAAATAAATTGGTTAGTCTCTAAGGTGCCACAAGTACTCCTTTTCTTTTTGCGAATACAGACTAACACGGCTGCTACTCTGAAACCTGCTAAATTTTAGCGTGTTGTGCTTCTGATTAGTCACTCTGTGATCATACACGCACACAGTTTTTTGTTTGTATGAATGTTAGTAGAAAAAAGCTGTTGTTCATACAAATATTCTTAACCATGTGCAAAAAGGAGTATTCATGTGTGAACAAGAGTATTGGCTGTTTGTCATACACTGTCTAATCATCATCATTATTATTATAATTATTTATTATTAGGGCTGTTGATTAATTGCCGTTAACTCACACAATTAACTCAAAAAATGAACTGTAATTAAAAAAATTAATCATGATTAATCGCACTGTTAAACAATAGAATACCAATTGAAATTTATTAAATATTTTGGGGTGTTTTTCTACATTTTCAAATACATTGATTTCAATTACAACACAGAATACAAAGTGTACAGTGCTCATTTTATATTATTTTTTATTAAAAATATACACTGTAAAAATGATAAATAGTATTTTTCAGTTCACATCAGACAAGTACTGTAGTGCAATCTCTTTATCATGAAAGTGAAGTTTACAAATATAGATTTTTTTTTTGTTACATAACTGCACTCAAAAACAAAACAATGTAAAACTTTAGAGCCTACAAGTCTCCTCAGTCCTAATTCTTGTTCAGCCAATCACTAAGAGAAACAAGTTTGTTTACATTTATAGGAGATAATGCTGCCCACTTCTTATTTACAATGTCACCTGAAAGTGAGAACAGGCGTTCACATGGCACTGTTGTAGTTGGCATTGCAAGATATTTACGTGCCAGATGCACTAAGGATTCATATGAACTCTTCATGCTTTGGCCATCATTCCAGAGGACATGCTTCCATGCTGATGACACTGGTTAAAAAAATAATGCATTAATTAAATTTGTGGCTGAACTCTTTGGGGGAGAATTATATATCTCTTGCTTTGTTTTACCTGCATTCTGCCATATAATTTCATGTTCTAGCCGTATCGGATGATGACCCAGCACATGTTCGTTTTAAGAACACTTTCACTGCAAATTTGACAAAATGCAAAGAAGATACCAATGTGAAATTTCTAAAGATAGCTACATCACTTGACCCAAGATTTAAGAATGTGAAGTGCCTTCCAAAATCTGAGAGGGATGAGGTGTGGAGCGTGCTTTCAGATGTCTTAAAAGAGCAGTACTCTGATGCGGAAACTACAGCACCCAAACCACCAAAAAAGAAAATCAGCCTTCTTTTGGTAGCATCTGACTCAGATGATGAAAATGAACATGCACTGCTTTGGATCGTTATCTAACAGAACCTGTCATCAGCATGGACGCATGTCCTCTGGAATGGTTCTTGAAGCATCAAGCGACGTATGAATCTTTAGCGCATCTGGCATGTAAACATCCTTCAACACCAGCTACAACAGTGCCATGCAAATGCCTGTTCTCACTTTCAGGTAACATTGTAAACAAGAAGCAGGCAGCATTATCTTCTGCAAATGTAAACAAGCTTGTTTGTCTGAGCAATTGGCTGAACAAGAAGTAGGACTAATTGGACTTGTAGGCTCTAAAGTTTTACATTGTTTCATTTTTGAATTCAGGGTTTTTTGGTGCATAATTCTATATTTGTAAGTTCAACTTTTATGATAAAAAGATTGCACTACAGTACTTGTATTAGGTGAATTGAAAAATACTATTTCTTTTGTTTTTTACAGTGCAAATATTTGTAATAAAAAGTAAATATAAAGTGAGCACTGTACACTTCGTATTCTGTATTGTAATTGAAATCGATTTATTTGAAAATGTAGAAGACATCCACAAATATTTAAATAAATGATATTCTGTTATTGTTTTACAGCGCGATTAATCATGTGATTAACCATGATTAATTTTTAATCACATGGTTAATCACGATTTTTTTTAATCACTTAACAGCCGTAATTATTATTTATTAATGTTAAGGTCTAAGCGCCATTGGGTTGTGCACTGAATACATCCGTAGCCATCCAGTTAACATTTTTTATTCATTTTTCTCCTATTTCAAAAAATTTTGCATGTAGTCAGGGAGCAGAGAAAAAGATCATGTGACTTGAATGGCCAGTCCCGCACCATAGTCAAACCAGTTTGTGACCAGCCCAAAGACTGAAATTACATAACAACACATGGTTTGTGAATGATTCACTACGAGTGAAGGCTATGATTATTCCATAACTTATTTGCAACAAATTATTTGGCCAGCAAGGGGGCCTCTCTGTTTCATGGAGAGAGTGAGTGTGGTTTTTGTGGCAGTGAGTTTGGATGGTAGAGGAGTTTTGTGGGAAATGCTCCAAATATGACAGACCTGTAATAACAGATTAAATGTTGACAGTTATTGTAATTTGTATGAGCAAAGATGTGGCATTAAGGGGACACCATATTAAATTAATCTAAATTTTGTAACAAGGATAGTTTTGTGAAATCAAAACAAAAATGAACTTTAATGAGCTTTTTTAAATGACAGTGAAATACATTCCAGAGAGGAAGCAAACTCTATCCTCACCTCACCCTCTGCAAGATGCACTTCCAGACTTTTCATGCCCCCAGTTTTTTCTGCATAGTGGGTAGAATTTGGTCTTTATTATAACAAACTAATTTGAAATATTAGCTAGGTATTTGTTGTTGTTGTTGTTACTATGCTGACAGTGTACCTTTAAAAAAGTAGTATATGTTCATTAACATGAGTCCATTTTCCCAACTTCTTCCTTGTTGAATTTGGGTGAATTGTAGGATTAGGTAGCCTGTAAATAACAATGCATATTACTGTGACATGTGCCTGTTACTTACTTTGTAGGACCATATTTAGCAATAGGAGCTAGGTAGGTGGACCCCTGTGCCCACATAGGTCCCTTTGGAAGCCATTGGGGCTTTTCATGTAGGTGCAGGGGTCCATCTATATGGATCTCATTGCAGGATTCGTGCTCTGGTCAGTAATTTAATGTAGGCCAAGAAACGTCACTTCTGGGTATTTTAATTACATTTGGAAAAACTATGATGGGTGGTGGTGTTTGCCTTGTTTTGTTTTATTTGCTATTTGGTGCACTTGTGGTATTTTTTGAAGGAATGCGAAATTGTATTTTAGACCTTTATTCTAGTGCAACTTTCATCAAATTTCATCAGATTTTTTTTTTAATTCACTATGGTGATTTATGGGAATATTTTGAAAAAGTCTCAAGAATGTGTGCAATAATAATACTTAGTTCTCATCTCCACATTTTGCTATTTTATTAATTTTTCATTTTTGCCTTATGTAATCTCACTGTTGAAAAGTGGTTTATTTCACTACCACTACCTTGGCACAACATTCTGAAATCTGCTGGATTTGCTTTATCAACTTTTCATGCACTTCTAGCTTTTAATATTTTCATTTAGTATTTCTGAACTTCAGAAGTGGACTGAAAAGTTTGGTGGTTAAACTAATTATTAAAATTGCTTAGGATCCCAAAATAGGGTAGTTTTCACAAATGCTGACTCAATTTAAAGGAAATAAACTGTAATTGAAAATAAGTTCTCACTTCAGTTATTATTTACTTGTCATGAACCAAGGTCTGGACCTTTTATTTGTTTATTCAGCAACAGTTAATCATAGAATCATAGGACTGGAAGGGACCTTGAGAGGTTATCTAGTCCAAGCCCCTGCACTCATGGCAGGACTAAGTATTACCTAGACCATTTCTGATGGGTGTTCGTCTAACCTGCTCTTAAAAATCTCCAATGATGGAAATTCCACAATATCCCTAGGCAATTTATTCCAGTGCTTAACAACTCTGACATTTAGGAATATTTTCCTAATGTCCAATCTATACCTCCCTTGCTGCAATTTAAGCCCATTGCTTCTTGTCCTATACTCAGAGGTTAAGAAAAACAATTTTTCTCCCTCCTTGTAACAACCTTTTACATACTTGACACTGTTATCATGTCCCCCCTCAGTCTTCTCTTTTCCAGACTAAACAAACCCAGTTTTTTCAGTCTTCACTCACAGCTCATGTTTTCTAGACCATTAATCATTTTTGTTGCTCTTCTCTGGACTCTCTCCAATTTGTCCACGTCCTTCCTGAAATGTGGCGCTCATAACTAGACACAGTACTCCAGTTGAGGCCTAATCAGCGCAGAGTGGAACTTGTTCTTTCCCTATTTTAGCCTCTTCTGATCCTACCTCATTTTCATTAGTGTTCACTATGTTAGGTGTCAAATCGCCACCAACCCTCTTAGTGAAAACCGAAACAAAAACATAATTAAGAACCTCTGCCATATCCACATTTTTTGTTATTGTTTTTCCCCCCTCATTGAGTAATGGGCCTACCCTGTCCTTGGTCTTCCTCTTGCTTTTAATGTATTCGTAGAATGTTTTCTTGTTACCCTTTATGCCTGTAGCTAGTTTGATCTTGTGATGATGTGATAGTGACTTACATTTATAATAGCCCACTTATCCCAAAACCTTATAGTGATGTCACCAACCCTACATTGTGTTATCTCTGAATTAATTGGGCAGTAGGAAAGGGAACATAAGGGAGACAATTTCAGTTTATATTTATGAAATCATCACTGCAGGAGAAATAAAGAAAATAAAGGTGGCAATGACTCTCTAATTCTGATACAGTAACTTGGAGAATACATGGCGTAGCTTTAATTTTTTGTTTTTCTGGTGATTCTCTTGTCTGGCTTTTGAATCCCTTCCCACTCTCCTGACAGAATTTTCCTTTCTTTATTT